ATCAAAATGACAACTAAACTCATGGGTTGGTCATTTTTACCTTAAACCCTAAACCCTAAACCCCTAAACCCCTAAACCCCTAAACCCCTAAACCCCAAAACCCCAAAACCCCCAAAACCCCTAAACCCTAGCATAGGGCCGAGGCCCGAGGCCCCGAAGCCAGAGATCCTGCTTGGGCGGAGGTTCGGCGGCGAGCTCCACGGCTTTGGCGAATGTCTTCTGGCCGCCTTCGAGGTTGAGCCTGTGTTGGGGCTTTTAGGGGATGATTTAGGGTTTATAGGGTTTAGGATGGTTTTAGGGTTTAGGGGTTTTGGGATTAGGGTTTATAGGGTTTAGGGTTTTGAGGTATGTAAGGTTCCGGAGTTTCAGGCAGCCTTTGGTTGGGGCGGGTGTCGGGTGCTGGGTTTCGTGTTTCGGCTTCGGCGTCGCTGTTGCAGGCTTGACGGTTTCCAAGAGCTAGGGAAAGCCGGACTATCCCGGGATTTCATCAGACTGACCGAGTTTAAAGATCTTAAGTCTTAAGAATTAGTGGAGGCCTGAGGAATTAGAAACTGACCAACCCCCGCCAATCGCAGGATGCATAGTTGAATGAACCGAAGAAAGACGGCAAAGCTGAATCCTGAAGCGAAGCCTGTGCTGTTGCTTCAGCTTCGAACATGGCTTCAAGTTGCAGGCCACTCAAACTTTTTCAGGCCCCCACTGATCGCTCCGATCAACAACTGCAAACCGATCCGTTCGCACTGCACGTTAAGCATCCTAGAAGGTTTTTACAGTGCCACAACCTCTCTGGATACAGTAGCAAGGCTTGGCGGGAGTCTACCCCGTCTACCCCTATTGGAAACGCAGTCTTCGTGGTCCCGCCCTTCTGTACTGAAATAGTTGAGTCTGTCCCCAAGAGCCAAGAGCTTATACCCCAAGTGTCGAGGCTCCTGGAACCTAAGCTCAGAACTGGGTCCTTGTTGGATACAATTTTACATTTTGTTATAATGAAACCCTAATAAGGATTAAAAATGATCATTTTTAATATGGCCCCAACCGGGAACCAGAGAACTGAAGAACGTTCTCCGAGGCCATTGCCTCCGCGCTTTCGCCGACCCAGTCCAAGCCCTCACGGCCACTGCTGGCAGTGCGCTGGCATTGATTTTAGCTTGGAGTTTGGGGAGTTTTGACAGGCCCATTGCTTTCAATAGAATTTCCGGTACGATTGCCAGAACGCTTTATTATTATTGTGATTGAAATGAAAAGGTTCTTGTGGTGGTTGGGACAAGTGAGCAAAAGACAACCCTCGCAAAGCACCGTAGGTTTTGAGTTTTGGTTGCAGTGGGCTTAGGTTTCGGAGGCCTTTTTTCTCAGTCGATGCTCAGCACATTGAACCTCTAAGTTGAACCACAAATCCACCTCTGCCCAAACCCAAGAAGTCCTTGAACCAAACCTTAAGCCTTAAACTTGCGGGTCGTTATTCTAAACCTTAAAACTTATACTAGTTTACTCAGTATCCCATTTAAGCCTCCTGAACCCCTCAAGACTATAACAATCCTTATACAACCCATATAACATTCAAACCGTCTTTTTGAAGCCTCAAGGAGTCAGCCCTTCTTGCGGCGCTGGAGATGCAGTCTCTTCGAGATGAATGGTCGTCTAAGTCAGATGCTTTAGTCCATGCGGGTTGACGCAGTTTGTCATGCTTGTCCACGGCTTCAGGTTTGGTTCGGGTTGTTTTGACAGATTCCCATGGCTTTGTACCCGGCTTTCAATGAGGGTTTTGTAAGTTTTTAGTAAATGGTGGGAAAGGGCCTTACAAGGGTTACTGGGTTGATTCTTCCAAATGACGTGGCCCTCCGAAGCAGGCCCTACACAGCTGAAGGGTTTAGGGTTGAGTTTCCAGGGGTTGACAGGGTTCGGGGTGTAAGATTTCAGAAGGTCAGGTTCGGCGTGGCCAGGGGCATGGTAGATGTGCGAAGGGTTCACACTTAAGCCAAATCCCAGAGATTTTGAGAACCTAGACTCATCCATGTTCTACCCGTGGCCTGAACTCAATAGCTTCAGGCACGAAGACTTGAGACCAGACTTCAAACCGCCCCAGAAGGGCAGTACATTTACTCTGTAGAATCCAGAGTTTCAGACCCTGAGCCCCGACCTTACAAGGGCTCTCGAACTCCCAGCTGCATCTTACCACCATCCACTGAAATATTCCATAACATACGAGACCGTCCCATGAACCCCAAAAGCCCTCCCTCTAAACCCTAAAGCCCAAGCCCCTGAACCTCTTCAGGAAGCCTCGCAATCCTCGAACTTAGGCTCTACCGGCTCTACCTGGTATTCCAGCTCTATCAAGGCGGAAAAGGGCCCGCAAAAAGCAAACCAAACTGAACCCGAAGCCCCAGAGATTGAAACCTGAGCCGACAATCCCAAACCATTAGCCAGCTTTCTTGAGACAGGATGGGAAGTCACAGAAAAAAATGAGCTCAAACAACATCTCAGCCAAGTCCTGAGCTCCACCCTTCCCCAAATCCTCCGCCCCCAAGGTTTCCACGAGAGGTCGAGGCTCCTTTGGTGAGCGATTTGGTCGTGAGGAGCCTCAGCCCTCCGGCTGGTCATTTATGGGAGTTTCCGAAAATACGGGATTTGGGGTCCTTATAATACGGATCCTACTTTTTAGGGCGCTACATTAAGCCCCATTTGGTGCCAACGGCCATTCTGCCGGCGATGTGCAATGACAATAGTGCCGGTAATAGTGCTAGCGAATGAAAATACTTTCTACGGTTGGCAGTTGTCCTGCGAAAAGTGCTCTTTTTGGGCAGGACAGCGAAAGTCCTCGGGCCTTCAAGGATCCAACTTGGGGGTAACGGATTGCGGTCCAGGCTTCAGGCTTGAATTTAGGTTTTAGGGTTTCAAGCTTCGTGTTTGACGGGGTCAGGATTTAAGGAGTTTTGGAGTTTCGCACGCAAGGTTCGAGGTGGCGGTGGAGTTTTACTGTTGTTTTGATGCCTTCTGCTGTCGGCTTGGTCCAGAGATTGAGTTTCAGGATTCCACTATATTCAGCTATCGTCAAGCAATTAACCTATGAGCTTTCTGGGTTAGCCTTCTCTTTGCATAGTCACGCGCTGATGAACTGGACGTTTGCAAAACCCACTTGTCCTTTGTATGCGGTGAGCCAGCGCACGACCCTCTGAGATTTTTGGCTTCTAAGGCAGTTGCGTAAGCTCCAGATGGCCGCTGGTTGCAGGGCTGGCAGTGAGGCCGACTGGAAAAGTGGGCGATCCAGGTTGTTTAGGACCTGGCGCCTGTGGTGTTGATGAAGCTTCTGACTTACGTATATACTCCGATTCAAGGCATATGGTAGTCCCTACACCCTAAACGTTAACCCAATGTTTGACGGAACATCTAGTGCTTGGAGTGTGAAGGGTGTTGCCTAGCCTGGAGTCATGAAGAGGAACATCCAGATTCCTGGCCTTCAGCAAAGATTTCTCACGAGAACCCCGACCGAGGTACCCACTAGCGTACATCGGCCCCTGATTGGCTGTTTGAGCAGCATTTCTTAAGAGGGATCCGTAGAGTTTGACATAAGCCCCTGAAAGGGGCGTCGGCGAATCGGGCACCAGCATGTGATGGAACATCTCTAACAGTCGTCTCGTAAACTGGCGAAGCATGGCGAAGCGGAAGCTCAGCAGTAAGTCCTAGATTGCAGGGTTACGATACGAGACCCCTTCAGGGGAGCTATGAGTCGCCAAGTAGAGCCCCAGAAGACCCCCCAGAGGCCCCTTGAGGCTCTAAAAGCCCGAAGTGTCCAGACCCTTTGCTCTGTCTTTGAAACCCAAGAAAACCCAATGCCAAGCCACAAGTTCTACGGTCATAAGTTAAATCAGTTAAATCCTACAAGACTTGCTTGAGACCCACTGGTTAAGCTTTGACTCCATCAACACACTTAATGCGTTCAAGCCCTGATTGGCCATGCGTGCGCTGGGCAAGGTGCCTTTGTGCATTGGCTGTGGCCAGCATCGCTCACCAGGGCACGAAGGCCTTGGGCTTCAAGGATTCAGGGAGGACTACGAAAATAAGGGTTCAGGCTTCAGGTGGTTTGTGGCTTGAAGTTACGTTTGCGTCTTTGCAGATGTAGGATTGGAGGTTTTGCGATTCGGTTCGGAATGCCATCATCTTGTCAATCACCCTGCTTGGCAAGGAGGACCGGGCGGAAAAGCAAGCCTGGACTCGCCGGGTCATCCCACAGTTGCGCGTGGTGCTCGAGGCACATCCGAAGTCCTTTCAGGTGCAACAGCTCGTGGCCGAAGGCTGCTGTCTTCTCCTGCGTCACGGCCATGGGAATCTAGGTGGGTCGCTGATCCAAAGAACCTGAGCCCAAATAGACCGCTGAAAAAGTTCGCCCCTTTGGCATTGCCACATTGCACGAGGCCTAAGTAAGGGATGCCCTCCCTTAATAAGGCTCCTAACAGAGATCCTCGCGTAAAGGCCATGAAGATGAATATTACGGAGGACCTTTGAGTAGTATGTTGAGAACCCTGAGGTGGACTTTCGGCTCTCTGGCCTTTGCTCTGGCCTTTAGTGGTGCATCCCCGGCAGCAAGTGGCCACAGCTGCCTCCCTGGCGCTCTGCCGGCTGACTTGGTTTCTCCGAGCTGGAGACTCTCAGGGTGAGTCGCAGGTTCCGACCGCGGAAAGGGCGATGCAAACGGCTTGTGCAGAGATTCTTGGAGCTAAGATTCTGCAGATTCCTCTTTTTGGCTAGCTGGGATTGGCTGGGATGTGTGACACCCATAAAGGAACTAGAAAGGACTAGCGCAACTTTCCAGAGAGGGTATCGGACGCCTGAGGATTTCTAGCATCTTTACGAACTCGGTGGCCCCGCGCCTCACGGAGCCTTGGTTGTCGTTTCATGCAAGTTCGCAGATTCCTATGAAGACCAAAAACCAAGTCTAGAACACCACCACCGAATATCCATCCTCATGAACAATTAACTCCTTCACCCATGAATGATGTCCATGTCTTCAATGCCCAACCCGGAGCCCTCAGCCGTCGCACCCCCGAGGATCCCGCCATCCACAGCGCGAGTTTGCAGTGCGTCCGACTGTTGGAGCTCCTCCGGGCACTGGTTTTGTACAGCCGGAGTAGACCTTCCGAGGCTTCCGATCCTCAGACTCCACAGAAGACATCCTCTTTTTGTGTTCTCTTTTTGTGGTGTGCGGGTATTCGGGTTTTTTTTCGGGTGTGAGGAGTTTTAGAGTTTCAGGGTTTTAGGAAATTTATAAGGGTTGTAGAAATTTAGGGTTTCGGGGTTTCAGTATTCACGTCCTTGGTGAGGCTTGGTGTTGTAGTCGTTGAGAGATTTGGCCATTTGAAAGGCTCCCGCGTGAGTGAGCACTCACTCACGAGTGCCAAGGGTTCGCATGCGGCGGTCAAAGCCAACATATCTTCAGCCGTTACCCCCCCCTATAGCTTCGGCGCCCCCAACACAGCCAACACAAGCCGAATTCGGAGCACTGCCACCCAGGGCCGCCGAGAACGTCGGGAGGCGGATGAGGCCTTGATCGTCTTGCCCCAAGCGAAGATTCTGGCAACGGTGGAGCTCCTCCTGACCTCCCTGACGCGGGAGACGTCGGTAGCTTCCCAGGTGCCGGAGGGCTCGGCCTAAGAATCCCTGAAGCCTCACCCCTGAGCTACCTTGAGTGGCCAAAAGCCTTCTGTAGCTCGGTGATTGATCGCTATTGTTCTAATAGATAAAGGGCTTGAACATCAAGGTTGGATAACGCGAAACCCCTGAGCCCTATAAGCCCTAAAAAGACTGTAAAACGGCTAAGCTCGAACCCATGGAGCGCCTGAAGTCCTGAAGCCTCACAGTTTTGTGTCAAAAGAGCCTTGGGCACTGTAAGTAAAAACATCCTGGCATGGGAGGTGCTTTCTGCCAGCTCCCCTACGGGACAGCTTGTCACCAAGGCGCTTGACTTGCTTACAGCCCTCCTCGACGCTCTGCCTTGAAATCGCCCATCCTTCGCTCGGAGAAGCCCTAAACTCGAGCACCGAAATCCTAAACCCTGGCGTTCGAAGGTCCGAGCCAGTTCAAACTCAAGGATGCCTCGAGCTTTGATCCTGACTAGTTCCTCTGTACTGTTGCCTCAATTCCAGGCAGGCCCAACACTGGAGCACAGGGCTTCGGGTTTACGGGATGGGGCTCAGGGTGTATAGGCCTCAGGGAACTGTGGAGCGTGAGGGTTTAGGTCTGCTGGCAAGCCCCGCTCCAGAACATTAAATTCGAAAATACCCTACGCCCAGCGCACCAAGATTGTTCGAAGCCTGCAAACCCTAACCAAGCTGAGCCTCAAGGCCGCTTCGGTCAGCACCCCGTATAAATAACGACTCCGACTACATGCGCAGAACCCTAAACACCGTCGATCTATACATGACTTCAGTGTAAGGACTACAAATACATAACCCTGAAATCCCTGACACACCCGAACTCTTCCCAGAGTAGGCGCAGCCGAGGACGTTTGCGGTACGGCCGCCTTAGTCTTCTCTGCTCAGCTTCGGCGCTTTCTTGAGCTGCTGTCGGACTGGCCGCTGGGACGGCCCAGGGTCTTTGGAAACTTGGGGCTTCCAGGGTTTCAGGGTTTTTCCGGCTTTTAGGGTTTATAGGGTTTAGGGTTTAGGAGGAATTTGGGGCTTCAGGGTTGAGAGGGCTCAACAGCTTCAGCTTTGGCTAACTGAGTCTTTCGGTGGCTCGGTTGTTGAGGGCTGGGCGGGGTGCAATGAAGTTTCAGTTTTGTTGGGTTATATGTCGTTTCTGAGCTTCAGGGTTGAGTATTGGGGGTTTCTTTATGGCTGCAGAGTTGTGGGAATTCAGAAGTTGTCGGGCCAAAATGGCGTGGCAAGGATTCTATGGGCTTAGTGGAATAGGTGGTTTGAATTGGGGGGTGTCAGGTGGTAAAGGTTATCTTCGGCTTCAGAGGCTTATTTGATTAGGGTGTAGGATTAGTTTCGTGGGTTTAGCAGCGTCGAGTGTTTTCTTGCTTGTCAAGTTGGAAGGGCTTGAACTTGCGGTTGCGCGGATCCTCAAGTCTTGTGGCGCAGGACACTGGGCCAGAAACTCAGTTGCGATAGCCCGAATCACAATGCGAATCCCATCCTCTGAAGTTCCAAACCAAACTGGTATGGACAGGTACTGTTTGAAGCGTTAGCCACGCTCCCAGGAACTGTCGTCGAAGCAGCACTTTGGCAAACAACCTCTTCTCTAGCTCCTCCCACCAAGAAAAGCTTAGACAGGTCTCCGAAGAACCACATCGGTCACAGCAAGGTGGTTCTCAGCTTCGTGCTAAGCCTTGAGAGGACTTGAACGCACTCGAAGCTCTTTCCTTTCTATGATGTTTGTCACGAGTTCTGTCTGTCATGCTTCGGGCTGTGTCTGGGAGTCTGGAAGCTGAGCATTTTTGGGACCTCGAGATTGCTTCCTGGGCTTTGGGCAGTGGCCCCGACCCATACCTCCCGGGTTCTTTGCATTGGCGGCATCCAACGCTGGTACCTTTACTTTAACATTTAGTTTAAGAACTTCGTTTGACAAGGGCAAAGTACCGGATGGCCAGTTGTTCCTGTGTAGCACACAGGAATAATGCTGTACTCGTCGTCGCTATGAGTAGCACAGGACTTCTGTGGAGTCTGAGCTGAGCTACCAGTAGCTTTCGGCAGCCCATTGGCCCCTGGGGTTACATCTGTGGAGTCAATCAGCGCCTGGTGGTGGTAGGACGGCCCCGGCCATCCTCCTTCGGAAGCCACTACTGAACCGGCTCTGCCTCTATGCGATGGAGGCACGCAGTAGCCTCCCAGAGAAGCGGAACTTCAAGAGCCCGGCCCTTTCGAAGCCCAGAAGGTCTTTGAGCCTCCAGAGATCTGAAGCCACCAATGTCTCGGGGTCTGTTCCAGATGAGTGTGTCGCAAGCCCAAGAGCTGCAGGAGCTACAAGAGCTACAGGACCCTCAGCCCTTAACAAAGCTGGATTCGTGTTCAGGGTGTCGTGGAAACTACATGGGGTAGATGCCACATCTCATCCTCTCCTGGAACCGAGATCAGTCACATCAAGAATGACAACAGCAGCCTCACGAGACTCCCCTGAACACCATCACTACGAAGCCCTGGGCAGCAGGTATCCCCAAAGCCAAACCCTCAGCAAAACCCTATACTCTAATAGCCACAAACCCCAACCCCAAAGCCAGGCTATGCAGCATGAGATCGGCCTCACCGGTCGAACTGCGAGCCAAAGTGCCCGCACGTCGCGCAAGAGGCACCTCGCACCCGAAACGGCAAGCAACAAGCCCCAAAGCCCAAGGACCTAAGAAACGGGCCTCAGTAGACATTGGTGAAAATGTCACCTTTTTGCCCCAAGTTTTTTAATCAGTAAAAGACCACACCCCCAAAACCCAATTCACTCATTGAAAGCCCCAGAGTGCTAAGCTGCTAGATCCTAGCCCGAAATCCACAGCCCCGAACCCTGCATCGCGAAGCCTGGTCTCCGGGTTTAGGGTTAGGGGTACCCGAAGCAGACCAAGCAGATGAAGGAAGGCCGAAGTGCTCGAAGACGCTGCAGACTTCTGCCAGCCTCTGCTCCTTGGCGGCTTGGGTTTTCAAGGCGCTCAGTGGCTGCAAGAGTCAGGAGCATTTGGGGCCCAAAACCCTGAACCCTGAAGCTCAGACCTTCGAACGCCATGCCTGCCTTGTGCGAGTGTGTGAGTCGAAACCCTGAACCGGGGCTTTGAGGGTTTGGGCTGTAAGACCTTCAGGTTCCAGCTCCTGGGTGTTGTGGGTTTTGGGCTTTTCAGAGGATGGGGCTCAGGGTGGTTAGGGTGCAGGGGCTTTAGGGTCTTAGGGCAGGAGTAGTTTAGGGTGTTGGGGTTTGAGAGTTAGTGTGCCTGAACAGGCTTTGGGGGTTTGGGAGGGTGGACGGCGATGGTGGGCCTCCGGGCTTTTGCTTCCGGGTATGGCCAGGTTAAGACGTTCGGAGATGGGGACTTCTTGAGGACTTCTGGTTCTCTTCGATCTTGTTTTAGCGTTTAGGGGATTAGGGTTCAAGGTTTTAGGGTTTAAGGTTTCAGGGTTTAGGGGATAACGGTTTAAGGCTTTAGGGTTTAGGGGATTAGGGTTGAAGGTTTTAGGGTTTAGGGTTTAAGGTTTTAGGGTTTAGGGGGTTAGGGTTAAGGGTTTAGGGTTTAGGGGATTAGTGGTTGAAGGTTTTAGGGTTTAAGGTTTTAGAGTTTAGGGATTATGGCTGAAGGGATTCAGGGCTTAGTGCATTGCAGTCCCTGCTCAAAAAAGGAGATTAGGGTTGAAGGTTTTCGGGTTAAGGGTTTAAGACGAAGGTTTTAGGGTTTAGGGTTTAAGGTTTTAGGGGATTAGGGTTTAAGGTTTTAGGGTTTTGGGGATTAGGGTTGAAGGCTTTCGGGTTAAGGGGATTAGGGTTTAAGGTTTTAGGGTTTAGGGGATGAAGGTTTAGGGTTTAGGGGATTAGGGTCTAAGGCTTTAGGGTTTAGGGGATTAGGGTTTAAGGTTTTAGGGTTTAATGTTTTCGGGTTTAGGGGATAACGGTTTAAGGTTTCAGGATTTAGGGGATTAGGGTTCCGGGTTTTAGGGTTTAGGGGATGAGGGTTTGAAGGTTTTAGGGTTTAAGGTTTTAGGGTTCTTTAGGGGATTAGGGTTTAAGGGTTTAGGGTTTAGGGGATTAGCGTTGAAGGTTTTAGGGTTCAGGGGATTAGGGTTTAAGGTTTTAGGGTTTACGGGATTAGGGCTTGATATTGAGATGAGATAGCCTTGAGATGTTGGGTTTGTCTGCATGCCTTCAAAGAGAAACAGCCCCACAAGCCGCGACACAGGTCGCTTCAAGTATAAACTTTACACTGCAAACTGACAACTTTATATCCAGACCTTCACAGCATAACATCTTCTTTTTGGAACAGCCCTTACCTTGCTTTGTCTTGACATCCAGGTTTCCAGTGGCATGCCAGGCGCTAGCACGCCTTGTGGAGAGGGGCGCAGCACTGCTAGAGCAGCAGTTGGTGGCGAGCATCTGTGCCTTGGGACCGTGGCTAAGACTTTGTGATGTGGGCTCAGCGGCCTAGGCATGCCTTGCCCCTGCATGTTCGCACGAATCGAATTTCCAGGACATCACCTGACAGACTTGGTGTTGTAGTAGCAACGCTACCTTGCATGTGGAATATCCCAGAGAGTCTTGTAAATCTAGCGGTGTCTTTTTGGCTCGGCTGGCTAAATCGTTTAGATCCTGCAAAGCCTGGCTGAGGTGAGCAGGTTGTGCACACTGTTTGGCACGGAGCTTTGCGGGCGCCTTCCACAGTCACCGGCAAAGAGCTGGACAGGTCATCTGCCAAAGCTTGTGAAGACTGGTTCAGGGTTCAGTCTCCGCTGCCCCAGTGATTTGTAAAATCCTAACCGTCCTAGCCTTTTCTCCAATTTCAGGGTCTAGGGTTCATAAATCATAGGGGTAGAGCATCGAACAACTGTCCGTAGCACCAGTTTAATACAAGACCCCCAAAGAGCCCGAAGCCAGGTGCTTGGTGTTCAAGCAGATCTGTCGGTCACCAGAGGCTGTGCTTGGGCTGCTTGAGGTGATGCTCGGCGGTCGTAGGAGAGCTCAGGGCTAGGTAGCGGTGTCGGGCTTCAAGGTTTTAGGGATCGGGCGTTTGGGATTTGCAGATTGGGGGGTCTGCGCGAGGCTGTTATGAGGATTTTTGGGGCGCAGTTTTCCGACTCCTGTTTCAATATTTGCCGCACAACTCTCAGGATCGAGGTGCTGGTCGAACCCAGGCAGTTGGGTTCAAAGCCCTTGGCGCCAAGCTTGCTGAACGCCTTTGCGGCCATCCTTTCCACCCTGCAGGGGGCCTTTGAGAGGCACGTGCTGCAAAAGCCCAACGATGATGCCATGACTGCTGGGGTTCGCACAAAGCTCGCTCAGCTCGCCGACACCATCCGCCTCGATCAGTTTCCACGACCTGCGGAGAGCAAAGGGATCTCCATCTCCTGGCCGGATGCCTCGGCCCCGGAGAGTCCAAAGCTTCTTCCATCTGCGGAGCCTTTCGGAGCCACGCCCCGAAGTCACAGGGAAACGACGAAGGAGGCGAAACGCAGCCTCACAACCCCAGAGAAGCTGCCGACGAAGGCGCACCGTTGCTTTTGCTCCCGTTTCTCTGAGAAAACCATGCCTTCAGTCGAGACAATAGTTCACAAGTAGATCCTTGAAGCCCAAAGCCAACGCCCTACGCCCACCCGATGCCCTAAAGCCCTGTAGTTGCCTTGCTTTTTGTTCGTGGGGAATGCTCTGCTGTAACGTGGGGTTTCGCACAGTCCGACGTCGCTGGGACATGCGCCTGCGTCGTGCGAGTGTGCGGGTCGAAACCCCTGTCGAGGCCCCGGACGCGGAAGAGCCCATGGAGGTGGACGCGGCGGAAACTTCCGCGGACGCACCGGCGGCCACCGCGACACCCGAGGTGGTCCGGTCCACCAGGGAAGTCCAAGTGGCCCGAAAGCATCATTTGCG